TTTTTTTGTATAGACCAAAGCAAAGACAATAAAACTAACACACAGATCCGATGGAGGCTGTTTTGGGGAGTGGGATGGGGAGATGGGGCTCCCTTAGCAGCCAGATGCCTCTGAGGCTGGATGCCAAGTGTCCTCATGGCCGTCTTGTGTTCAGGGAGAGTAAGGGAGAGAGGAGTGGCAGGGAGAAGAGCATTCCAGGAGCCAGAGTTGATTTAATTTAATGTAATACACACAACTTTGCACCTTAGGAGGCTAGGAAGGGTGAAGAGATGACTGGGGCTCTGTGTCATCCCTTTCGGGAACACCAGGCATTATTTGTCTCCAGTGGGGAACCTCCTTGCCAGCCTCTCAACCTCCATTCTGCTCTGCCTCCGTCCAGCCTTAATGAAGTTTGGCTGAGCTCTCCTGGGCAGAACACACCCCTGGCCTGTGGCTTGGAGTCGAAGCCCGCTATTGGTCTGTGGTGGGCCCACCTGGCCCCTGCTCACCTCCCCCCACTCCCTTCAGCCACTCAGCCAGCATCCTCCACGCTGTCTCTTGCCTCCTGATTTTTGTTCATGCTGTTACCTCTGCCTGGAATACCTTCAGCTGCTCACCCATTGGGATCTGCCCTGTCCCGGCCAGGCTGAGCTGGTGCCCCTTCTCTGCTCCATAATGTCCTGTGCAACGGCTATGATTTTACCCATCATGTTGGTGTCATTGTCACCTTACTTGATGGTCCCCCACCCATGTCTCCAAATTCTCCTTCCTAGGGAGGGCTAACTCTCATGCCAAGCCTGAAACACGTGGTCCCTGTGGGCCTGCACTCACCAGGTCCATTGTCTCATTTCTCTACTGCCTGGAGCTCAGACAGTGGAGGAGACCATGGCCTCGTTCATGGAGGAGCAGTGTCACAGATGTGATGTTAGGGACTGGTATGGATGCTGGGACCAGGGCACGGAGCCCATTAGGAGGTGGCTGTAAGGTGCTGGCCAGAGGGGTGAGATGCTGGGTGGAGCTCCACCAAGGGAAGCCATGGAAGGGAGGGGAGAACAGAATTTTCAGAGATCACAAGAAGGTCTTTTAATAACGCACTGTGTTCAGGGCCTGTCAGTCTGCTCGGGCTGCTCTTAACAATACTGTAGACTGGTGGCTTAAACGACAGACAGGTATTTTTCACAGCTCTGGAAGCTGGAAGTCCAAGATCAAGGTGCCAGTGGATTCCATGTCTGATGAGAGACCACTTCTTGGCTTGTAGACAATGCCCCTTTGCTGTGTGCTCCAATGGCCTTTCCTTGGTGCCTGTTCAGAGGGGGAGAGGTTTCTCTCCCTCTTAATAAGGGCACTAATTCCATCATGAGGGTTTCACCCTTGCAACCTCATCTAAACCTATTTACCCGCCAAAGGCCCTGTCTCCAAATACTATCACATTGGAAGCCAGGACTTCAATAAATGAATTTGGAAGGACACAGGCATTCCCATAAGAGGGCCCTGATAGGAAACACTCAACTTGGGTAATTTCAGAATTTGGTAAAGGGACCGTTTACAGAGGTGTGGGCAGGTATAGGAAACAGTAAGGGAGAAGGGGCTTACTGTGGTACACTTACCTCTTCTAGTCAGGCAGGAAGGGAAGGAGTGCTGCTTGGTGATAGGACCCAAGATAAGGCTCCTGACAAGGGGGGGCTGCGACATTGCTCCCTCCTATTGGTGCTTTCTGTTGGCCAAACCCAAGCGGAGACCAGAGAGCCCATCATTGTGGTCCATTCATGTCCCCTCTGCCCAGAGCAGAGTGGAGAGGGGATCTGGGGATGCCAATGAAAGATAATTTTCTTTTCCACGCCTCCCATCTTTCCAAAATAGGACTCAAGATGGATTACAAGAAAGGATTGGTCTTTCAAGTCTCAAAACAGGCAGTGAAGACAAGGAAAAGGAAGGGGCAGCAAAGCACCCATGTTAAGGGTTAACACTAGCCATAACTGAGCTTCCTCATTAGGTGCTGAGCTTCCTGGCAGCCTAGTCACAAAGGGAAACAAGGCAAGTTAATCTCAACGGAGTGAATTAACTGCTCCTTCAGTTTTCATGGAAGAGCTGTCTGAGCCCTGCAACCTTGAGAAAGTCGATTCACTTCACTGAATGTCAATGTCCTCATCTGTAAAATGGGAATAATGCCTGCTTCACTTTCCAAACAAGAGGAAGTGAGAAAGCACAGTGATTCCAGCAGGAAGAAGGGGACAGGGTGAGAGCTCTTTTCTAGAGAGACTGCCTTTTTGCCTTCTAGAAGGGAAATCTACCCGAGGGATACATCTGGACATGGGCTGAAAACTGTCGTATAACCATCTCTTGCTGCAAGGGAAGCTGGGAAACAATACTGCAGCCACTTGAAAAAAAATCAGGTTTCTAATAGGAAGAAAGAAAGGATGCAGAAGACCTAGGGTAGACAACCAGTCATGCCTTCTGTGACTAGGAATGAGTCTTCTAGACCAACTGCTGCTTTTTAGGTGGGTTTGTTGGGGGATCCAGCAGAAGAACCGAGTGTCTGGGTTTCAGCAAAGGAGCTGATGGAGTAGCAGACCAGATGGGAAATACAGGCCTATGTGAGGTGGGCAGACCTGACTGAGCCACACCCAAGGAATAGGGACCTGGCCCTGTCTTTCTGGAGGGTCTAGAGGAAGGTCTCTGCCACTTGCATGGTCAACATCACTACTTGGTATCAGCAGTAGTAAAGCAGTCAGACAGACCGATGCAGACAACAATGCTGATACCAATCACAAGGGAGAGTTACTCGCTAGATGGCAGAAGTGAGCCCCCCCTCCAAGAAAAGGTGGTGAGCCAGAATAAGGGGCATAATCCAACAAGGTGAGATTTCAACATCAAGTTATTAAAATAATACAGGTATTGAATATAGTTCCCTGTGCCATGCAGTAGGATCTTGCTGTTTATCTATTTTATATATAGTAGTAGCTAGTGTCTGCAAATCCTAAACTCCCAATTTATCCCTCCATCCACCTTTCCCTATGTTCAATACCTTGTAATAACCTATAATGAAAAAATATGAAAAGGAATATATATGTGTACAACTGATTCACTATGCTGCACACCAGGAATTAACACAACATTGTAAACTGACTATAATTAAATTAAAAAGAAAGTTATTAAAATAAGTCTTAAATTCTCATCTGTGAACCTAAAATGGCTCTTAAAAATAAAGCCTGTCAATTAAAAAAATAAGTTATGAAAAATAACTTATTATCTAATAAGTTAATAGAGTGAGGCTTCCACTAAAAATTGTTTTAAACAGTTCTACACGACCTCCTCCCCAAAGCATGTAAGTTGGCTTCAAAGATTCAGTCAATAAGCTAACTACGTAGGAAATAATTAGATGGAATCCTAAATTCTACACTTTGATCTAAAAACATCTGTGCACAGGTAGGAAATACGGAGGAATTCAGCTACACCCAGGATGTGTGGGAATGATTTGAGAAATTAAGTTGACCCCTACGTTCACAATAAAGTGCTAGTACCACGAAGCTTTGGAAAATGATTCAAAATGCGGTCCTGTATTGTCTGTGTTGCCAGAAGTTTGACGTCCCTGGGGGACAGTGGTAGCGCTGCATTGGCTAGATTTGTGAGTCATTCATTCACTCGTTCCTCCATTCACCGAATGCTTCCTAAGGGCCTGCTCTTTGCCAGGCTTTGTAAGGCACTGGGGCTAGGGAGGCCAACATCCTGGTCTTCCTGGGCGAGATGGACAGTGAGCCAGCACCGGCAGGCCAGCGGGGAAGTGCGCATGCGCCTAGGAGGCTGGGCGGGTCCGGGAGCCCGGGGAGGAAGTGGGGGATGTTTGCGCCTCAGTCTGAACCGGGGCGAGTCGTTTGCCCAGCGTCCCTGCGAGGCACCAGTATTCATGGCAACGGGAACAGCAAAGACAGGGACGTAGGAACCTGGGTGGGGAGTCTGAGAAAAAACGACTTTGAGGTTGGAGGTAATTGCCTCTCATTTTACTTTTGAGGCCGAGGAAGTTTTAGTGACCTTCCTGTAACTCAGTTGTTTTAAGTAACATTAACGACAGCAGTTTTGAGCCCTCAGGTGCTAAGTGTTTTATTGAATAATCTCTGTTAATCACCACAGCCCTGTGAGGTGTGTCTTTAAATGAAGGTAAATTATACAAGGTGAGGCCCCTGAGACTCAGAGAGGTTAGGAAACGTTCAAAGGCGACACAGCTGTGTGAGCACCAGGGCTGGGATATGAATCCAGGACACCTAACTCAATTCCGAGGTACTCTGCCCGCCCTCCTCCCAAGGTTGGGAGGGTTCTGGGGAGAGCTGGGCCTTGAGGAATAGCCTGGGGTCTGCGTGTATCAGACCCTGTCCACCGACGGAATCTCCTTGTTGGCTAAATCACCTAGCAAGCGTTGACTGGGTGGTGCCAGCCTGGGCCAGGCGCTGGGACTCAGAGATGGGGACCAGCAATGCCTGCCGTGAGCTGGCGAGTCTGGTGGGGTCCCCCGGCGGGGAGATCAGTGTTCACAGCCTGTGTTGAAGGAAGACTCGGGACCCAA